GCTGTCCTTTTTCTCCTCTTAGCTGCTTCAGTCCAGCTTCCTTTCTCACCCTTAGCTACATCAACATATTTTCTGCCTCTAGGCCTCCGTGCCTGCTATTCCCCTGGGAAGCCTCTCCCTTGTCACCTTTAGTGTAGCTCTTCTCTTTCTCTGCAGGGTTAGGCACTAATACTTATGAAGGTGTGAGGCTGCCAGTGGCTATCCTGGCTAAGACTGAAGGCAAGCACTGATGACAGAAAGAGAGAAGGAAGGAGGGAGGGAGGGGAGGAGGAAAGGTGAGGGGGAGAAAGAAAGAGAGAAGGGAAATGATTCCTGGATTTTATGGTGCCCTAGGTAAGACTCACCCATTTCAATTCCCAGCACATGAGGGGGTGACATTTCTCTTTTTACTTAAGCTGCTTTGGATTGGGTATCTACCACCTGCCAAGGAAAACACTCTAATACTCCATGTTCCCTCATAGCCACACTCGAGTATAGCAAGGGTAGAAAGCAAATGAGTCTCTTTTAGTACTGGGTTAAAGGTGAAATTTTCAGAATTCCCTTGAAACTCCCTCAAAGAAGGACTAGTCTCTTCGGCAGAGTTGCCCAAACCATTTCCAGTTCTTCACTAAATATTGCCTCTGCCCCTGTCCCATTATATCCTTTCTCTCTTTCTTCTTCCATCTCTTCCTATCCTTTGCCCTAAAGACACTCAAAGCTCTTCTCTCCTGGAAAAGAAATCGTTCCTCTACCTTCTAATCTATCCTGAAGCAGGAGAACTGATAGGTTTCAGGCTAGACATTTTTGCAACCAGCCTCCTTTTTATGCTTCCAGATAGAAATAACAAGTTCAGTTCAGTCACTCAGTCGTGTCCAACCCTTTGCGGCCCCATGAACTGCAGCACACCAGGCCTCCCTGTCCATCACCAACTCCCAGCATTTACTCAAACTCATGTCCATTGAGTCGGTGATGCCATCCAACCAACTCATCCTCTGTTGTTCCCTTCTCCTCCCGCCTTCAATCTTTCCCAGCATTAGGGTCTTTTCAAATGAGTCAGTTCTTTACATCAGGTGGCCAAAGTATTGGAGTTTCAACTTCAACATCAGTCCTTTCAGGGAATATTCAGGACTGATTTCCTTTAGGACGGACTGGTTGGATCTCCTTGCAGTCCAAGGGACTCTCAAGCATCTTCTCCAACACCACAGTTCAAAAGCATCAATTCTGCAGTGCTCAGCTTTCTTTATAGTCCAACTCTTACATCCATACATGACTACTGGAAAAATCACAGCTNTTTGATCTCTGGTTCCTCTGCCTTTTCTAAAAGCAGCTTGAACATCTGTAAGCTCACGGTTCACGTACTGTTGAAGCCTGGCTTGGAGAATTTTGAGCATTACTTTACTAGCGTGTGAGATGAGTGCAATTGTGCGGTAGTTTGGGCATTCTTTGGCATTGCCTTTCTTTGGGATTGGAATGAAAACTGACCTTTTCCAGGCCAGTGGCCACTGCTGAGTTTTCCAAATTTGCTGGCATATTGAGTGCAGCACTTTCACAGCATCATCTTTCAGGATTTGAAATAGCTCAACTTAAATTCCATCACCTCTACTAGTTTTATTCACAGTGATGTTTTCTAAGGCCCACTTGACTTCGCATTCCAGGATGTCCAGAAATAACAAGAGAAACAGGGTAAATAGCCGGACTTTGTCTCCTGTGGGCACTTTAAGATAATAGCCCAACAATGGCAGGGGCAGAGAGGGACTAAGCCCTGCTTGGGTAAAAGATCAGGAGCTCACATATTTCCCATCTTTAGAATCAGAAAGACCTCAACTGAACATGCACAGAAAGGCTCCTCAGCGGTCAAAAAGGAAGAGGGTGCCAGACTGTACGCTTTGCTAACTTCCCAGGGACCCTTGTGCTAAATTCCATTTTGGCTAAAGGATGTATGTGCACACAGGGGAGGACCCTGAGACAAATCAGCTGTAGGGTAGAGGAAAACAAAGACCAGGAAGACTGCCCCCTTGTAAATGATTTAAACTTCCCAAGGTGTGACTCTCTTTGAGCTCTCCTGTGAGTCTCTCTGCATGTGTTCTGCTTTTCTAGTACATGTCTTACTTTCCTTTCTAACTGCTGTCTCCTTAGCAATTTTTTTTTCTCTAGGCAGCAAGAACTGGGGTCCAGAGTCTTAGCCCCAGTCCCTCCTGGTCTAGTGCTTAGGACTTTGTGCTCTCACTGCTGAACCCAAGTTTCCATCCCTGGTCAGGGAATGAAGGTCTTGCTGCAAGATGTTGCTCTCCACTGTGTCTGTGCAAAATCAATCCTTTAAAGATTACATCCTCTCTCTCCCCCGCCTTCACCATCAAACTGCTTGAAAGAGATTACACACTCCTCTCCATGTTCTCATCATCTTCCACCAGGCATCTTCAACACCGCCACCAGGCTTTCATACTCAACCTTCTTGAAACTGTATCTGCCAGTGGTCACCATCACCTCCAAGTCAGTCAGCTAACCCATGGCCTTTTCTTGGTCCTCATGTTTATTGTTCTTTCTGTAGCATTTAGCTCAGCTGATCATGTCTGCCTCATCTTCCCTGGCTTCTGAGGCACCTAATGATTTTCCTACCTTCCTGGCCATTCTTTCTGGTTACTGGAATGTTGGCAAAACCTCCAGGCAAGAGTGATAAGGTGAGTGTCAATGCTTGATTCAGTCTTCTGGGGTCGAGTGAAACCACTCAATTGGTTATTAGTCCCAATCCTTTAAAATTTCATAAGAAAGGGTCCATCACTTAGGTTGCTCAGAACAACCTAATGCTAGTGGATAAACATTGAAATTGTCTAGGCACCACTCTATAATGGGAAGTATTTATTTCTTTATGCTCTCTGAGCACTTGGATAGTATCCACAAATGTCCACTGGATTTACCACTGGAGGTATCCCTCTTCTATTCATACTATAAACCAGAGCTTAAACTTGAGGCCTTAAAATGGATTGGCTAGAATCCACTTTAGTATATAGTACTATATATATACTTGTCTGGTGGCTCAGAGGATAAAGCGTCTCCCTGCAATGTGGGAGACCTGGGTTCGATCCCTGGGTCGGGAAGATCCCCTGGAGAAGGAAATGGCAACCCACTCCAGTATTCTTGCCTGGAGAATCCCATGGACAGAGGAGCCTAGGAGGCTACAGTCTACGGGGTCACAAAGAGTTGGACAAGACTGAGCAACTTCACTGTTTCTTTCTTACTATATACACATATAGTACAATCAACAGGTATAATTAAAGTGAGGCTCCGGTGCTAATTACTAACCTTTCCTTACCTGGGAATTGGGGAAAACCAATGGTTGGTTTGTCTGTACAAAGTTTAAGCACTTGGTCCTAATTTAGCAATATTTTCTGACCATTATGAAATGAAAGAATTATTTTCTTATAAGGAAATTATCAGATCATATAGGTTGTGAGCAGATCCTGGTCTCACTTTTTCCTATGTATATAGGAGGTTTTGTTCTATTTTATTCCTACTTTCACTTTGATTTTGATTAGGGACACGTGGTAGGGTTGCTGGAAAGACCACACACATGAGATTGGATGAAGTAGGCAACAATCATGACAACATCTCAGCTTAGAACCTTCTTTATTAGAGCATTTTTAATGACAAGTAGATATAAACTTGGCAAGAGCACCTTTCAAAGTCACAGTTCCAATTATTTTTGTGAGGTCAAGAAGGAGAAGGCAGAGAACACAGTGGTGGAGGCTTACATCAAAGCAATGACCATCAAGCTGCTGACTTTATGTTCCATCAGACATCACTAGCACCTCCTCTGCTCCTATCCTTGGAAGGATGAGAAGTTGGGACTCAAGAGCTGACATTCATCTAGGCCACAGGCAGCACTTGCTTCCAGAGCAGACAAAGCCCCTACCCATACCCATACTTGGACAAAATGATAGCTGTATTCTCTGTGCCAAACCGTCTCATCTCCAACCATCTTCTAGATCTTGAAGTATCTGATTCTGCCTGGGCAAAGGCGGACTGGACCACCAGGAACGCCAGGCAGCCCCCCTACGGGTGTTTTCCCCACGCGGAAGGCTTCTCCCGAGGCTGACTCCACTGAGGCAACACCGGAGAAAGTGTGGCGCAGATCATAGTGTGCCCGATGCAGAGGCAGGGGCACGGCCACCAAGCTCGGCCCCGCCACCACGGAGGCCACGGGCAGCCCCGCTGCAGAAGGCGCAGGGGCGGCTGCGTCCGGCACTGCGCTCGGGGCCACAGCTTCGGCGCCGTCGGGCTGGGGCTGCGGAATCACAGGCTGGAGAGAGGACCGTTTCTTTAGGTTAGCTGCCTTTCTCCTCCTTCCAGGGGAAATCCCCACCCAATTCTCTCACAGTAATAATTTTTATGTGTAAGGAATCTGGCCAAGAAGTACTTCGTTGGTACGCATCGTCGTCGGGGTGCTGGGGGGGGGTGGTTGGTTTGTTGCGTTGTTTTTTTTCTCAGCTGTTTTTTTGTTGTTGGTCTTCTTCTCCTGTTTTTTGAGGAGCAGAAGCCCCCCTTCTTGTTACTTTGTTGCAGCAGCGTTGTCCTCTTTTTTTTCTTCTCCCGCCGTTGTTTGGGGGTGGTAGGCGGCTGTTCTCGCCTCTTTTTTTGCACTTCGGAAACCCCTTCCCCCCCCCCCCCTTCCTTCCTGGGGTGGGCGGTTGGAACCTTGCCTTTGCCACTTGCCCTTGGGGTTGTTTTGCCCTGTAAGTACCAGTTCCTGGAAGGGGAGGGCATGAATGAAACCTTTCATTTACTGATGATTTCACATTCCTGGCACTATCTATATTGTGGGGCTCAGAAGAACAGGCAGCTAATGCCCTGATTACTACTGCATGGCAGAAATTCAAAGGGGTCATTGGATTCTGAAAAACAGGGCCAGTACATCTATGGGGCTCTTACCTGCGTTTGGAATACTGTGCAAGTCACTGCGACGTCTTCCCCACCAACAGCTTTCTGAATGAGTGACCCCTTACAGAAGCCATATTGCTGCCCACAGAAAGAGAAGAGTTATTTGAACAGGTTCAAAAATTGGACTTCTCACCCAGTTTCACTTATACTCAACACATCCAGGGTAAGACGCTTAAATTCTTAATTCCTGTCTTTTCGTTTTTTGTTTTTTTAAAAAAACTTTTTTCCTAAAGTTTATGCTTTCTGCTTATATTTTATATAGAATGTAGAAAATACAGAAATGTTTTGGGAGTGAGAGAGCTCACCCATAATCTCAGAAATTGTGGTGACTCAGAAGAACTTCTGTTAACCTCTATGTATTTCTTTATTTTTAAATACGATTAGATATCATTTAAAAGTTGACATGATTGTGACTATACCATTTTGGAGACTGTGTTTTTCACATGCTAGAATGGTAGCAGTCTCTTATTCATTATTCTTTGAAAACATAATTTCTGGGTCTATAATTTTCTGTTTACTAACATGTCATATTTTATTCAACGATTCCCTCCTGTTGGACATTCAGATGTTTGGGGTCATTTTGAATCTGTCATAAATCATCTTTATAGATATATTTTGTCAAACAGCTGATATCTTTAGGCTAAATTCCTAGAAGTAGACATTACTGGCTTAAGGACTTAGGTTGCATACCTGAGGTATATCTAGAAAATCTACACTTTATACTTCCAGCAGCCTGACATGACTCATATTAGTTAGGAAATAGACTCTAACTCCCGGGGCCTCCAGCAGATGAGAAGATCTGGTGATAGCTCTTAAGCAGGGGAGATGACACCCCAAGGGATGACCTGGTATGACCCAGTCTCACAGGGCATGGGTATTTTGCATTATCTCCTTCCACAGCCCCAAGATATAAACTTGCTCTAAGAAGTCTCTGTTCCATGACCAGCTTTGCCGATTCAGTGCCTGGCCCGCTCACCTTTTCTGCCAGCAGGTTGCACTTGGTTGGATCTATGACATCTTTAGCAATACAGTCAGTAGCAGCCACTGCAAACTCCACAGAGACAGAAGCTGAAAGAGGCTGATGAAGATACATGAACATTTTCATGGAGCAACACGACAGCATGAGAAAGGCAGGGAAGGAGAGCCCAGAGGGAAGTAGTGAGGGCCATGGCAATACATAGTCCAGGGAGCACCACTCATGTAGACCGCACTGTGTGGCCAGGAAACATGCGCCTGGTGGCTTACACAGGGCTCACATGGTGGCATTGGATTTTAAGGGCTTGCATACAGAAGCTGGGGTTTGGGTGTTCCCTGAAGTAGGTGCAGGTATCCACTGCCCATCCTTCCAGAGCAGAGGCAAGTTTTCCGGTAGAAAGCAGGAACCCAGAGGGCTGACCTGACACTGATCTGGGTAGGAACCCTGCCTTCTGCCAATTTCCGTATTGGGGTTGCACTTTGAGACCTGAGGTTCAGGTTATTCCAAGATGGGATGGGAAAGTAATTAATTCCTCTCCCACATATTTTAGATAGCAGGATCAAATGAAAAAGATAACTGGAAGTGCAGAAGATATTTATGCTTTTCTATCTCATTGTTCTTGGAGCATAAGGACACTTAAAATAATAAAATATCTCTTACTTGTTATAGTCTGAGGTGGAGGTTCTAGAATCACATATTTTGGTTAATAGAATTACTACGTACAGTGTATTTCCAAGTATGCCATGACTGGCATCCAGAATACCAGTTTTTGGTTTTTTTTAAATATTAGAATTATATTGTGTTCAAATGTGCTAACCTAACCACAGGACAATTAGTTGTTGTTTTTTTTTTTTTTCAGTGATTCCATGGCATTTTAAGATTCTGCCATTATACATAAGTATGCCCATGCCTTTGTCAATATCAATTACAAGAGTTGATACTTACAAGAGCAGATGTTCAGTGGTGATGGGTGATGGTGATGTGGAGACCCATGAATTTACAGTGTGTGCTTCTGGATAAAATGGGAATTCCCACCCTGGTGTTAACTAAAATCGAGGCTGAACAGACAAGCAGACTCTGACTATTTTATGTTGAAGTGGCTTACGTGGCGGGGTGCAGTCAGTGTCCTCTGGGTCCAGGACAGTCAGGACCCTTTCTTTCCCTTTTCTCCCACCACCCTCCTTGACTTACTGTGGCTGCACTTGCTCCCTCCCTCACACTTGCTTCACCACGTCCACACCCCAGAGTGCCACCAGCCTGCCCAATCCGTCAGCAGGGTCTCAGTCTTACCACAAATTGAGCCCGAGAAATTTCCAGCAGCTGAAAGTAGGAGCCGTTATTCTGGGCATTGAAGGTAGCCAGCGCGACCTCCACTGCGTGCACCACCCGGCTGTCGTTGAGCGGGGCCAGCAGGGGGCAGTCTGGGCACAACTTGCGCACGTCCTCGGCGGAGTCTGCGTACAGAAGTAACCCGGTTCGGGCCTGGAATTCTCAGGGGCATTAGTCCCCGCTCTGCTTATTTGAGAGGGCTAAGACAGGCTCCGAACAGTTACAGGCTGATTCTCTGCTTCTTACTTAAACCCTCGGGTGGCCCCTGGCGTGCTGGCATTTTTGCAGGAGCTCCTCTCACCAAGGGGTGATTTCCAACCTCCAAGCAGAACAATTCCTTAAAAAAACAGTTTTAAAATCCCCAAACTCAAGGAAATTTGGCTTCCCCTTTTCATCACCAATAAAGTGGCTAGATCTGCTTCTGTTGAAAACAATTCCGGTCCCTTCCTCACTCTCTACCGGGTAACCATAATAAGAACAGTCAACTCTACCTGGACTGGAATCACATTTTGTAAACAGCACGGAAAACTGGCCATCTTGTTTCAGCACGTGGATATCGCAGTCTCCTTCCACCGCCTGGAGAAATACACCCACAGTGAGGACCCCAGGGGGCTGATCTTCACTTCTCAAGGTGGAAGATAGGGCTAGGGGGGAAGAGGGGGTGGTCTCTCAGGCGTGGACGTCAAAGGCGAGCCTCACAAAATCTCCTTCACTTGGTGATATTGAAACAGGACACTGGTTTTGCTGAGGTTGCAGGGGAGTCGTGGGGGGCGGGGTACAATAAAAAGGGCAATTGTAAAAAATCGGCGCTAGGGAGGGCTACATCGACTGGCAGTTTTAGTTGGGGCACCACCCCACCCCACCCCGCAGTTGCCCAGAGAGGGCCACTCACGTGCTCCGTCTGCTGCCTCACGCTGCAGTTCGCCAGGGGCGTGGGGTCCAGCACGTGGCAGGTGGTTTCCAGGGTGTCTATTTCAATGTCATATACCTCTCCTGTGGGCCGCTGTGGAGACAGAGGATGAAGAGGTGAGCCTGAGCCTGCTGAGCGGGTCCACGGGTGAGCCCCCACTGGGTGTCAACACACCCATTGTTGGAAGGGTAAGAAAGAAGCGGGCATGGGCTTGGACAGGTTGATGGAACCACAGTCATCACTCTCAGATGTATTTGGAAGGCAAAAATGAGTGTCGGTACTTGCCCTTCAAGCCCTACTTTGAAAAAGTCGGTTTGGGATTTTTCTCAGTCAAGCAGCAAAGTAAGGTGGTGTGGGATAATAATTTACTGTCTCTCCTTTATCTTCTCTATCCCTCCCTTTACTTCTTCCTTCCTTCCTTCTCAACACCTACTTTCTTCCTTCCCTGTTTTCTTTTCCTTCCTAAAGGAAAAGTTGTCCTCTGTGGCTTTTTGTCTCCTAGATGCCTGGATGCAAAGTTGCTGTTCCCTACTGTCCCCTGCTGGTAGTAAGGGGGAAGCGTGATCCTTCCTCTGCTGGAGGAAGCAGTGTGTCTGTCCTTCATTTGCACAGAGGACAGGAGTTGTGGGCAAGGCAGTAACAGGGGAGCTTGGATGATTCCTTGGAGTTTTCCCTGCCAGTTCACTTGTTTCTGCATCCTTTCTTCAAAGACCGGAAAATCCAGAAGGTACGCATATGCCTATTTTTTTCTTTCAGCCCAACTCTGCTTGCCTCTCATTTCTGTTCTTCCTGATTCACTAGTACCTGAAACCTCAGACTCTCCTTTCCTGTTTTATGATGTGCAGATGTGACCAAATTAACTTCCTGAAAACACTCAGAGCTAGTGATAGGAGCCAGCATTCCAGCTTGTTCTCAAGCCCTGCTGTAAGTGAACATTGCAACATTGTTCTTTCTTTCCCTCAAATATGCAGGTTGTGTGTTATTTCCCCTGAACTGATCATTGCTTCCTCTGAACCACCACTGTACTTCACTATTGCATAACTCCTAAACTCCATCCGGGACAACCCTGATTTCAAATATTTTGTCCTATTGTAAGATCAGAGGTCTGTGAGTCAGTCCAGATGTCCTGAAGCTTGCCATATTTTCCTTCCTAGATTGTGAATCTTCTGTGGCACTAATTATATCTTTCTCATCTTTGTGTTAGGTTGAATCATTATCTGACTTCTTGCAAATATCTGACTGCTTTTAATATACAAGGCTGGCTATTTCATTAATTCAACTTAGCATGTCCCGTAGCACTTGACACTGGTTCTTGTCCTGGAAGACTTGTAATCAGCGTTGGCTGAAAGAATTACCCTTCATCAGCTATAAAATCTAATTTCAAAATAGGCAGTAAACAGATGCCTTTTCCCCACCTCTCCAAATCACTCAGCTGACCTCCAAGACACATTTCCCAGTTTGATCGTTGTCACCAGTTTCAGACTGCATTGCTTTCTCCTCCAGAGAGGTGAGGAGGTGTGAGGAGGTGAATCCTTTCAAGCCAAGATTTCTCACTGGGATGTGGGTACCTTTCTTGGGAAAGCAGCTTGTGTAGAGGAAGGAATACAGTGCTGAAATAGAATCCTAGCCTGATGCTTACTGTCTTCTGACCTTGGGTAAAGAAAAAAAAAATGCCCTAAATATGTCAGAGCCTTCGTTATCTCTTATGTAAGACAAGGACAGTACCCCCACAGAACTGGGGATGCAGCGGGGAAGGGGTTACAGAGATGAACTATATGAAAGGGACTAGTACATAATAGGCACTTTAAAAATGTGCGCTTCATTCACACTCAGTCTTTATGCAGAGAAACAGAAACAGAGAAAAAGAAATGTTTTCCGGCCAGTGGTAGTTTGGCAGCCAGAATCCTTTCTCTGGTTCTAGTTTTTCTAGAAGGTCACACTTTCTACTTGTGACCTTCAAAATACCATTTGAAGCCTTGTCCTTTCCTCACACCTCCTGCTCCCATCCAGCACCCTCCTGGAGACCCTGACCACAGTACAGAATGTCTCCTCTCTTCCTTCAGCCTGCCCTCTCCCTCCCTCCTTGGAGGAATCAGGGCATTTTCGATATGCAGCTTCCTTTGTTCTGGGAGGCAGGCTCTCAGAGACACCCAGCTGAGCCTCCCACACCAGCCTGTCCCGCCTGGCAGGGCTGGTTCACTTACCCTTGGCCACACCTTCACACTGTCAATCTGGTTCAAGGTGTGCTTGTAGCCCCTAGGAAGGTGCTTATTGATGTAGTCCACGGCCGCCAAGGCTGCTTGCTCTGTGTCTGGGTCATCACAGGCCGGTTCCTTATAACCTGCAATCGGGTCAAGCGGGATCGAGTGGCAGTCCCCGAGCTGAGCCAGGCAAAAGAGCAGAACGAAGGATTTCATGGTGGCTTCAGAGAGGCCCTGGTGTGTCAGCAGGCAGGCAGCTGGAGGCTTCCGGACCAACCCAGGTGCTCTGACTGGTGGAGTGTCCAAAGGCTTTATTTATATGTTGGAGCCTGCGGAAGGATTGCGTAAGGATATGGGATGATTTCTGTTCTGGTTCCAAAAAAAAAGCCCCCTGCAAACATCAGTCCTGGAAAAGCAAACAGGTTATGACATCGCTGGCCCCCAAGAAATCTGCCAAAGTCAATGCTGCTTGGGGGTCGATGTGGGCAGGTTGGGGGGTGGGCTGGGGAGATGCTCCAGAGTTGGCCTGGAACATGGTAACAGCAGCAAAGAGAGGAGGCAGCTGAGAGGACAAGGTGAGCACCAAGGTGACGAGGGGCTGGCACGGTCAGCCCTGGAGCGCTGTGATTCTGGCAGCAGAGAGAATGCCCTCCATTGGGAGCTGAGGGCAACATGGGGTCCATGTTGGGGAAAGTAGGGATGCTCAGCAATTTACTAAAATCTTCACATGTCAGGGACAATTACCTTCTTCTGGAGGGAGAACAAGGCCCACAGATGTAGCCAAGGTACCAATGATTTGGAGTGAAGAGGGAAAGTTACGGGATCTTGGATAAGATCTAAGCCAAGATCTTGGATAAGATCCTTAGAGAAAAGAAGAAAGGAAGGGAGAGATTTCTGCCTGGAGTGGGGAATGGGGAGAGAGCTTCTTCCCTTCCTGTAGCAGGGCCGGGAGGGCTATGGCCTGCAGAGCTTCCCCACTGCCATGTCCCCTTCTCTCCAGACCGGACTGCCAACACACTGCCCAGATGCACCCTGACCTGGGTTCCCTGGGTTCCCTGGGTTCCACTGGATTGGCACGAGTGACCAAGTGTCACCGGTGACCCCGTGCGCCCGTGGCCTGTGCCCTCAGCCAGTAGACAAGTGCAGCAGAGAGGAGCCCCGGTCCAACAGCCACTCACTTGGCAGAGCTCTGGCTTTGAATCCTGCACTGCAGGCTGAGACTCTGTGAGGACACTGACACAGATGCCTCCGTAGGGCCCTTTGGAGCACTAGCAGAACTAGAGTGAGTCTTGGCAGCCAGAGCCCGCGGTCACAGTATTGGCTCAGACACTGCCTCTCAGTTGTGGCCCCTGATGATCTTAGGTGTGACCTCCAAGGAGAGGTGGTCAGGATAGTGAGAGCCTTGGAAAACATCATCCGAGGTTTAGTTTGGTTTAGCCTGGAGCGGAGAAGCCGGAAACATGGAAACCAACACGTTTTCCAAATATTTAGAGGTTATCATTGTGTGCGGGTGGACTTGCTCTGTTGTTTGCTATTGCTTTAGAGAACAAAACTTGGTTTAAAGGCGGGGGGTGGGGGTGTTCTATAGAGAAGCTTAATAATATTGACTTCCTGTAAGGAGGGAGATAAGCAAGGGGGGAGCCTGTGATGGGTAGAGAAGGTAGTAAGCAGTATAAGCATGGTTTTCACATTTGCTCCCAGCTGCTCACAAACAGACCCTTAATTCCAGAGACTTAGAAGGTGTGGTCAGGACCCCAGGTTCTTTGGTCATCCCTCAGGATAAGCCTTAGAACTGGGGGTCTTTCCATTAGCCTTGTGCCCCCATTGCCTCCAGGGCCTTGACTCATTAGAAACTTTTTGCACATGTTCTGCTTTTCTTTTAAAATACAAAACATGGTTATTACTAAAAATTTGAAAATCACAAAAAATATATGCAGTGAGATATCATAAGTTCAACTGTGTTCAATATAATTTTATTTTCCATAACACAGTTGGATTTCTGACTCTAAACTTTCTTTCATGAAAATAGAATCTACTCACTTCCAGGCAACCCAGCTTTCCAGGTACTTGGATTGAAACCCAGTCCAATTTAGGTTTGCCATTATGCTTCTTCTCCTAATGAGGTTAGAAGAAAGCCTGAAGTGCAGAGGGGGAGATTTATGCAAATACTGATTTTGTCAAGGTCAAGAGGTATCTACTTTTGCCTTGGCATCTTCTGCCAGGTAGCCTGTCTCATGTGGTCCTCAGACAAATGCACTCATGAGCTAGTGGCCTGCTTTCCTCCATCTAATCCATAGAAAGACAGTCCTCCCACATCCTATGATCAGGGGTCATATTATCAAAGCTGTGGCACCCTGTCTAGCCCACAGGTCTCTTCTTAGTTGGGAGCTACCCTCCTCGTTTTATTTTTTTGGCCACACCTCGCAACATGCGGAACTTCCCTGATCGGGGATAGAATCCACGCCCCATGCAATGGAAGCAGAGTCCACTGGGTAACCACGGAAGTCCCAGAGCTACCCGCCTCTTTAAGCTTGGCAGAATTTGTCTGCTTGCCCTCCCAGGCTGTGGGGGCTTCCTGAGGCTCCCTTCAAACTTGTCTGTTTAGACATTGCTGTCACAGCCCACCGGCCTCCACCCCCCACTGCTTTAGGGCGGCCCTGCTACTCAGGGGGCTTCTCCCTGCCATGTGATATCTCACTGTGCTACCTGTGTGTCCCCTCCCCTCCCTATCCCTGCAGCGAGGTTCCAGGTTCTTCTGGAGGCTCTTCTCCAGGACTCCCACACTGTTCTGGGGGTGGTTCTATTGCCATCCCAATCTGAGGGTAGAGGAAGAGAACAGAAAGTTCTCTCTGATCATCCTGTCTGACCATTTCTGTCTTATACTTGGCACATTTCTTTTGATACCTTTGTTCTTGCATCTTTCATGGGTGACAATTTCTAAAGCCCCAGGTATTGTCCTATTTTGCTGATGCTAGAAAAACAAAGCATGTAGTAAAGAGCAATTAATATCTCACCTGTCATCCTAACACAGATAAACACTGAAACAAAACTCACCCACAATCTCATCACCCAGAGATCAACAGTGTTAATGTTTTGGTGCATTTGCATCTTATTTTAATATAATTCAGTATAATATAATCATACTTATGTACAGCTTTGTATTCTTTTTTCATTTAACATTATAACTTGAATATTTCTTCATGTTATTAAATACTTTAAATCTGCTTATAATGACTACCTATGATTCTGTTGTATCATAATCTGTTTTACCATTCTCTTATTATTGTGCATTTAGTTTGTTTTCAATCGAGCACTCTCATATACAAAGTCATAATGAACTTTTAATTCAGGAATCTTTGACTTTCTAGTTATTTTTATTCAGGATAGAGGTTTATTAGTGAATCATTGATTTTAAAACATCTTAATATCTGTGGCCAAATTGCCTGTCATAAATTTCTACATTAATTTCTACCCCTATCTGGTAGGGTATATCAAATTTATATACTGTTATATATATGTGTGTGTGTATATATATATATGTGTATAATATATATATACACACATACACACATGTATATTATGCCAGGTCAACTGTTTTCTCTTTTCCTCTACCACTGCTTCTATGCTGACTTTTGGGGAAACTTAGATATGGGAAAATCATCAGAACTCTTTTTTAATGTATTTTATGAATATCTTTGGTTTTAGCTCAAGTATTCCATATGTCTAATGCTTATAAACTAAAATAGCTTTGGTGTCAAGCTGAATAAAACGGTCTCAATTTTTTTCAGTTGGAAAAACAAAGATTACCATTTACTTACTGAAAATGAAGGAGACACTAGAGGATCTTTTGATATTTTTTCCAAGAAAACTGTGACAAAGGATGCCCAAGGGAGGCTCTAAGTATTTCACCGTGCCTGACGACATCACTTTCAAACTTTGAAAGATTTTCACACACCGAATGCATGTGCCCTTGAGCGATCTTGGGTAAGTTTCATCCACCTAGCTCCAGCATATCAAGAGGAGACAAGCATTTACTCCATTTTCTGGTCATTCGTCTCATTACTTTAATGACTTCTCTTTGCATTTTTCTTTGAGGCCCAGGTCTGCACTAAAACAACGTCTAGTAGCACATTGAAGATATCAGGAACTTGTTAGAGCTGGTTGGGAAGAGCAGTCCCAAAGATCCAAGGAGCAGAAGAGGACCAACAACCTCCAGGAGATGGCAGCAGGGTGCTGGGCAGTGCTTTCTGTGCGGAGCTCATGCGGCTGATGGCGGAATTCCAAGATGGCAGCAGGGTTGGCACCAGCGCCTCTGTGTTTGTGAGTAGGGCTGTCCACTAGGGCGGCGATGCGTTCAAATTTCTCCAAAGCAGAATTCAGCCTTAGTTGGGAGTTAGATAAGGATGGTGGCAAGTGCAGGGTCAGAGTGGCTGCGGGTTGGTTCTGTCTGGGCCCTGCCAGCAGTCAGGAATCTCGGAAGGGAAAAATAGAGCCAGAAGGGGGTGAAATATCAAGTCAGGCAGTGAGGGCTCAGTTGAGAGCTAGAAACCCAGCCTCTCGCAAAACAGGACATGAACAAGTGCACGTCAGCAGAAGCCAGAGGAACCATTGGTTTTCACAGGGAGGAAGTGGCAGTGGTTGGTGTTTAAATTGTTGGGCCAGATTCTTGGCTCTGCCCTTTCTGGTACTTAAAGGGCCTAGGCCCTAAGAAGCCCAGTAGTGATTTCTGATAAGCCAGGTGTTTTTTCATCCTTATGGGTATTTATTGAACACCTACTATCTGTAATGTCAGGTGCCTGTATGCAGAGTGATGAGAAAACAATCTGCACTAAAGGAGCTTACCTTGACTCCCTTTGTCCAGCAACATCTGATCAGCCAAGAGCTGTAAGTTAGAAGAGATGATCATGTTGTATGTCCTAGGGAGACAGGTTGGGATTTCTATCTCCAGTGTAAAACCCTTGATCAATGGAATGCAAATTACTCTTCTCCAAGGACCCACCAGGCTTCTTTTCTTTTTTTAAAAAAATTTTTATTTATTTATCTTTTTGCCACACCTCATGGCGTGTGGGATCTTAATTTCCCAACCAAGGATCTAACCTGTACCCCTCGGCACTGGAAGTATGGAGCCTCAACCTCAGGACCACCAGGGAAGTCCCCCAAGAGGTTTCTTGTGAAGGCAATGGAGCTCTTGTTGCCCTGAAAGTTATTTAGAAGAGCCTTTTGTTTTCAGTGCCAATGCACCAAAGTTGGGAGACACTGGCCTGAGCACAATGTGGCAAAAAAAGATTAAACCCCAGTGACCACAGGGGATTACTTCCTTCTTTAGGTGGAGAAAGGGCTCAGCAAGCACCNCCCCCCCCCCCCCACCACGCCCCCAACCCTGCTCTCATAACCGTGATCTGGCTCAAAAATCTAATCCATGGAAAGAAATGCTTGCTTTGTGGATCACACCTCCTTAAATTATGTGCCTACGTCCTGTACTTTGCTGGATCCTAGTCCTGGCCCTGGGGAAGAGGCAGAATCTAAACCCAGAATAGAAAAAATGTATTTCATGAAGTCTTTCTATTCTTTCAAGTATAATGTTTTTCTCATTTAACTATTGATATTCTGTGTGAAATCAGCCTCAAGAACTCAGTGACACTTGTCCTCGGCTTTCATTATCATATAGGAAATGATGGGGAACCTTCTATTCTCTTCTGTTTGGAAGAAGATTTAAAATCATACACTGCTTAGTGTGGCCTTGACACCCACTCCGATGTTGTGTCTCACAAAAGCGAATCATTTAAGGTTAAAGAAAGGATGGGGAGATTTGGACTTTCTGAAGCTGTAACAACTTCTCCTCAGAAAAACAACATTATCATCAGAGCTAATGATGTTGATTCCTTATTTCGTAAAAGGCTTTGTGCTTTTTTTTTTCATAACTGCCTGAGAGTTTTACTGTTCTCATCTTCCATCCCTTATAGAGTAACAGAGGTTCAGAGATGTTCTGGAACCTGCCCGTATCACAGAGTAGTGGACCCTGGCTTTACTCCAATTGCTTTGTCTCTATTAACCTCAAACCAAAAGAATATAGGGCCCCCCAAAACTGAGGAGGTTGGCTCCTAAACATTGCCTTAAAGTGAATAAATCATTATTCTTAGCAATAAGAAACATGGCTGTATGCCAAATTTGAAAAAATGCAAAAGATATATAAAAATGTATTGTGTGGTTAACAATTAAAAGAAGAAAAAAAAGTTAGTTTATCCAGCTCATTTCAGTCAGTGGAAAATAGCTAAAAATCGATTTTGCAGAAGAGACTTTCACCTCTTGACTTCAGTTGTTTTTGAAACTATCTCTAGCTCCAGTTTAGGAGGTAAATAAAAGGTAAATGATTACATTATTTCTGGTTAAATGTTTTCCAGGGGAATGCTAGTCAAGGCAGAGAATTACATCCATCCTTCCTGCTGGTTTGTCATCAACATTTGATATCTTCCAAATAAGTGAGTGGCTGTCTTCAGACCAGAAGGAAGATGAGAGTTGAAACCATTGTCTTCTAATGAGCACTTTAGGGTGCCATCTGCGGCCATGGACATGGAGGTGTTCAGAGGAGCTGTGGCCTTGGGTCATATGGTTATACTGAGGCCACTGAAATCAGCCAATTCATTGCACCTTAGTAAATCCGGGCCCTTCTTTATCCAGCATGTGGATGACTGGGGTTGGAATGGGTCCTTTTTGACAGTGAGTCAGTATTGGAAGTTTGATGGATTCGTTTATTGACTTGTATTGAGTTCTTCTCTGGACACACATTCATTAACTCCAAACTGTTTCTTGGACACTTACATTGTGCCCAGTGCTAAGGATGCACAGATGGAAGGTGACATTCCTGTCTTCGATGCTCGCTGTTTTTGAGTCTAGCTCCGTAGCACTCTGCTAGTTCTTGTGCACCTACCTAGAGGAGTGTAGGCTGTGGGTCCTGCGCTCAGCCTGCATTAAATCCAGAGGAACACAGGCCTGAGTTGGGAGGTTCTCGGAGGACAGCAGTGTCTATGTCATTGTCAATCTTATGTGCTCAGCTCCTGCCTCCTGCCCAACCCTGCACGGCTAAGCCCCAGACGTGATCACTGAGGGGCTCTTGGCCAGTCTCCTACTCAGCTCAGAGCCTCCTTCCAATGTCTGGAGTCTTCCTGAGGACATCCAGATACAGACTTCTCTCCACCACTGTGGCAGCCCATCTGTTATTGAGTCCCTCTGGTAACTGGGAAGTTACTAGTTTCCTTCACACTGAGTCAACACCAGCCTAACTTGTAGTCTCACCAACAGATGCAGATTCTCCCTTCAGGAACTACATAAACTAAATTGATTTTTTGATGCAGTGTTGGGCTTCAGGCATTTACAGACATCCTAAGGCAGTGGGAGGATAAATGTTAGCAGGAAGGCAGGGCGAGTAAGATGGAAAGGGGCAGATGGGTGGGGGGGAAGGGCTCAGGAGCAGCTTAGATTGATCAGGAGCCCTGCATTTAGAGTTAGGCCAGACCCTGGTGCCGCCCTTTACTAGCTGTTTGATCTAACTAGATATTTAATCATGGTAAGCCATAGTTTTTTCATCTGTTAGGTTGTGGTAGTGGTTTAATCACTGTGTCTGATTCTTGGACTATAGCCCACCACGCTTCTCTGTCCATGGAATTTTCCAGGCAAGAATACTGAAGTGGGTAGTCATTCCCTTCTCCAGGGGATCTTCCTGATCCAAGGATCGAACCCACATCCCCTACATTGCAGGCGGTCTCCTGTATTTCAGACAGATTCTTTACTATTGAGCCAGTGGGGAAGCCCTCTTCATCCATTCACTAGGGCAGTAAAACCTGGCTAGTAAAAATGCGCTGAGAATTTAATGAGATAACATTTGCAAATACTCAGCCTAGGGTGTGGCACACAGTGAGCTATCAATAAATGGGAGCTCTGAATAACCCAACAGCACTCTAGTATAGAAAGCAAAAAAAGGTATCACAGGGCAAGGTGAATACAATGTGACTAAGGTATGGTCTTTGCCTTCAGTTAACAGTGACTAACAATGACAACATCCTATTCAGATGCAATATAGGCCAATGGCTAAGAATGAGGGATCCTTAACTTTATCACTTTTGACAAGTTCCTTAACCCATCTGAGTTGGTTTACTCATCTGTGAAAAGGCATACCAACAGCAGTGCGTACGTCAGAGGATTGCTGAGAACATTACGTGAGATAGTACACTTATTCCTAGCATCAAGTAAGTATCTACACTGTCACATAGAGAGAACTGAAACATGTGCAAGAATGTGACTGCATTTTTTGCACCAATAAGCTGGCAAGGAGAGGGTCATGTGTATGTATCTTTTAGCAACAGGAGGGAGCAGAAGGAGAAAGGGGGATAGTGGGATTGTGGAAAGCTACGTATAGATTCTTCCCTGTTCCTTGGGCTAGTGGCATGAATAAGGCAGGACTCAGGGATAAGGGATGGTAGGCATAGATCAGTGCCTGGCAGGGCTGGGGAAGGTGAGCCCCCAGCTAAGCGCCTGTGAGGTGGGGAGCCAGGCAGGCAGGTGCTGGAGTGCTCAGGTAGGTGGGCAACTCAGGAGATTCCCTGGGAGGGGTTCGAAGGAGCGTTTGAACAATTGTGTCTGCCCAGTGGGCCTCTCAGTTTCCCCCGAGGGTTCCGGTGTAGTCACCTGGCTGCTGACTGTGTTCCAGACAGTGGCCCAGGTACTTCCGGGCAGTGCAAGCATTTAGCAGTGCCTTGCACTTGGTGTTACACTCTGCTGTCACCGAGTTGAAATTCCTAGTAACTTTTGAACAAGGAGCCCTGTGTTTGCAGTTTGCATTGAGCCATGAAATCGTATAGCCAG